AAAACCAGCAACTATTTCATTTTCTTGATCAGACAATAAAATGAGCAGCACCCAATGGGCTGGTATACCATATTCAAGTCCAAACTAAAAGCCCAACAATTAACACCCAGAATCTAATGAGAAATTTACTCCCTTTACAAATGCTTGTGGAAATAATATCACATTTACGAGCAGCAAATCTTTTCATCATATATACGTTCTATAATAATAATTTAAAGGGGTCAGGTGGTTAATAGGGCCTGATTAATCGTAAATCAAGTTTAATTATATTTAATAAAGGCAGATATTAAGTCAGTTTTAAAAACAACAAACCACACTCAATAAGACTATTGCATGATTGGGAAACGTTCATATTCACCATTTCTATACTCAACAGTAAGACAAAGAAAAGAAATCAAGATTTTCTCTCTCCATATCTCGTTTATTGTGCACATAACATCTCACAAAAGAAAACCTTCATCAGTCTCTCACAAGAAAAAAAGAAATCTTCATCTCTCATCTCTCACACACACAAAAACTGAAATCCTCTCTACGAAAATTGGAAGAATGGCAAAGCGTAAAATAATTGAGGCAAAAAAATTGGAACAACGAAGATGAAGCAAGGATAACTTAATCCCTATCTCACCAAATCTCAGCGTTTTGTGTTTCTTCACCTCAAACAAGACAGGAGACGGAGAAAAAAAAAAGATGTCAATCATCACAGTGAAGATGGAGTTTGATAACTCGCTCATTATCTCGTCTAACAACTAAAAATTAACCATTCGAGCATAAAGTCGTCCAAAAGAAGCTGGTCGCCGGCGCCATACGTTGAGCCATGAATCTAAGATGCGCTTCAAAAGTTTAATTCTTAACCGAGAGCCCAGCGGGACCACGTAACCCTCCAACGCTGCTGGCCGTCGCATCGTCTGTCGTCACTCATAGGGAAGATTCTCAACTGAGAGCCAAGCGGTATACCACGGCATTCCTCCATCGTTGGCCGTCGCATCGTTTGTCGATCCCCAACCCTTTGATTCTTCTTATTCATCAAAAGTACGGTTCGAGATTTGGTTTAGATTAGATATGTTTAATTGTATATGTGCCTTAGTTGTACGAGGTTTTGTGTTTATATATTGTTTGTTTATCTTAAGTTTAATCATATTGCAATCAATCATAATTGTGTGTTATGTTTTATCTCGTTTGTGTTGTTTATATGTTGTTTATCTTATGTATAACTATACGGTTAATTTACACGCATTTTACTTGTTGTTTATCTTATGTATATATACAGTATATCTGAACATATTTTCACGATCAACTTCACTAACTCAATTTTTTTATATTACGCGGGCGATGCTGACCTGGACCATGTACAATAGATTCTGGTTGTCGAGTATCGGGCAAATCGAGGTTGAGGTTTTGTTTTGTGATCTATTATGGTTTAAGAAAATCTTGGTTCTGATGTTTGATGATGATGATGTCTGAAGGAGGAGTTTGAGTCTTTCGGTTCGGGTTTAGGTTCGGTTTCAGGTGTAAAATGGGGATTGAATAGAGTCTCTGTGGAGGAGTTTGTGCACATGCCAGTGGCAATGAGCGTCTCAAGAGTGAGGATTATGAGAAAGTAGATGAGTTTGAAGGATCTGCTTACCAATGCTATTTTTTTCTTCATTTCTATTTCCTTTCCAGTATTGAAGGTTGAGATATTAAATATAATGTTGAAAATGAGTGTAAAAATGATGCTTACTACTTGAGAGAGTATATTCTAATGTTTACCAACTGTATATTCTAAAACTTGTATGAGTATGCACATGTTTATCTAACGTTTATTTTCAGTATACATTGTTGTTGTATGAAGAACCACATGTTTATCTAATGTTTATTTTTAATATACACGTCTAATCAAGATACCTCCAACTTGATAGTACACGTATTCATTGTTGATATTTTTTGTTATTATTCTCGACATTTTTATATACAGAACATAAACGTTAAATAAACAAAAAAAAAAATCAGATCAAACATAAGCATAACAAGTTATACTGAACATAAACGGTAGATAAACAAAATATTATCACACACAAGCCATTGACGAATATATTGATTTTATTTGCCAAAGATTTGCTTTCTCATACTAAACATCAAATCACTGCCATAACTCAGATAATCTGAACAGAAATCCACACCGTCACAGTTACATGGCCCTAAACAGAGTCCATCTAGCCACCGTCAAAGCACACCCCATCTGAAACACTGGCCTCGGCGTATCTCCATACGCGGAACTAAGAAAAGTACCATTGGCAACAATAATAGGCCTACAATGATTCCACCCTTTAATTGAAGCATTAAGATTCATGGACACTTTTATCTCTGAAAGTTTCGCCGACCGCAATATCAGTATTCATGCATCTATCGACCAAAACTACAAGTGTTCTGGAGTGTTTATTTCCCGTTTATCTTCCGTATACTTCACTGTTTTCGACGTAGTCTGCAACTGGTTCGGCGATTCCGGCATAGCCTGCAGCTGGTTCGACGATTCCTGTATAAAATCATCGTCTTCCAAATCTTCTCGAGAACACATATTCCTGAAAATAAACAATTTATCACCCGAGGCCACATAATAAACTATCAAAATTAAAGAAGAAGAAAAAAAAAACACCACTATTGTAATATAACACCACATAAAAAATACCAACATGAAATGCGAAGGAAGAAAGGTAAAACCGGCTTTATGGTACCTCTCGAGTCTTTTGTCAGCGAAAATTTCATGAAGAACAATATTTGAATCATAGGAGATTTCACGGATAACAATTTTTTGCTTTCTAATCCCGATCGGAGCCTTTTTCTTTTGTTCAACTGGATCAATTTTTTTTCCCAATTCATGGAGACCTCGACATGAGCGTGTGCTGTAAATTGGTCGCCAGAATTATAAAATTATGTCTCATAATTTTGGAATAATTATTTGGAAAATAGGGGGGTTTAGGATTGATGCAATGGCCTATGGGGATAAGGCGTCGGTTACGGAGGAGTGGATGACTGCAAGATTCTTGGGATGAATATGATGAATCGTATTTTTGATATTATTTTATCTATAAATCCTGATATGATAAAACTTTTTTTATACCGTAAAGATAAAATTAAGAGGACTAAGAGATATAGATACGTAAATTTCCCGAATCTAATATCGTTGGTCCACTTAACTATACGTAACCATAGAAGCCCAAAAAAGGCCCAATACACCCAAAAGGTCTCATCTTCAGTCTTCATCTGAGCGCATCGTCACCTGAGTGCAACTCAATTTGCACTTCTCAATTTACTCCGGCAGCAGAATGGGCGGAGGAGGAGATCACCACCACCTTGCCGACGTGTCCCACGGCGGAGATGTCAGGGCGAAAGTGTGGAGCTTTACCGGCGGTCCCTACTGCCGGCCTAAGCACTGGAAGCGCAACACTGCCTTCGCCATGGCTGGCATCGTCCTTATCTGCATCCCCATCGCCATGAAATCTGCGGAGCTCGAGGTGAGCCCACATTCACGGATCTGTGACTGCGTTTAATTCATTTGATTTTTTTTTTTTTTTTTTTACTTTGTTGCTACACTCCTGATCGAGGTCTGATGTTTGGGCAAATTGGTACAATGGTTTTGGGCTGGGTAGACTGAAGAGATCATATGGGACTTAATGTTTTCATGTTTTGTTATCACAAGTAAGAACTTTGAAGCACAGTGCATATATGGAGCTTAAGTTGCTACTTTATAGGCACCCGATGATAACAATATTATTTACCTGTACCTGTTCATGTGAAATATTGCCACAGCCC